TATTGGACAAAGTGTATTCCTGCAAAAACCTATGACGCTTAACCTTACTTTTTGCCACTGCCCAAAATTGTTCAATTGGATTAAGCTCTGGAGAGTAAGTAGGAAGATACACACATTTATATCCTCGATACTCAATATACTTCTTTATGTTTTCATGTGTGTGAATGGGTGCATTTATAGGGGTACTCAGAAAATCCGGATTGGCTGATCCGTTTCGTTTCGAATTGAAATGAAACGGATTAAGATTGCATTTTTTACGAAACGAAACGGATTCGGATTCGAGATTGCTGATCCGGATCAAAAACGGTTCAAAAGTTTGCGATCCGTTTGTTCCGTTTGATCCGTTTTTCCCATGTCGAATGCACAGCATGCTAATTCTAGTACAATGCACCTCAACTCACAACTCCATTTATAGAAAACAAAAACGAGTTTTTATTTGTGCTAAGTTAGTAAAGTTGTAAATGGTGCAGAAGTAAAAGTAGCAGTAGTATCCATACTGTTGCAGCATCAAAGTACCGACTCTGCAAACACCAAAATATATGATGATAGATCCTCTATTTTTTCAACTTACACATGATATTGAGGTATGCTTGCGTTATATAGCTATCCATCTACTGTCGTGTATCAAAATAAAGCAGAATGGCCTCGCTGTTCTTATGCCATACACTATAACGGAAAGAAACATGGCTGTCCAATACCATTTCCATTATTTGATGTGATCATAAGATTTTGAGCTTGTTTATTGCCTAGAGGAGAACTGTATACCCATCAGTTAGCTTAATTAACCAAAGTTGTATTATAGAATATAGACATCTCCTAAAGGCTGAAAACAATAAACGAATGATAGCGGCAATGGATAAAATCAAAGATAGATGAAAGTAAACAATGGCATATACACTGTAGCGGAAAACAAAGCATTGATCCCGGAACCAAATAGGCAGTTATCAGCAAAGTCAAGTAAAAATGTTTTGCTTATCAGTAGGATAGCAGTGTAAAAAAAGTCAAAGTATATGCAACGATTTTCAACGGGTAGTTATCGGCAATGTCAAGCAAAGTATGTCTCGTATATCAGGAGCATATCAAAGCAAATGGCTCCGATGTCAACGGGATTTGTTATCAGCGGAATCAAGTAATGGAATCTCGTAATTCGATAGTGATGGGCATAAGCATACACGGGAGTGGAAAAGTAGAAAGCTTATCAGACATTATAATACGGAGGCACCCACTGAATATCGATAGCTCACCGATAGCCTGATACCGTAGATCTTTTTGAGTTGGGCCCAATTGTGGCGGAAATAAATTACGTTTAAGGAAATTACGTCCTATCCTATCAAGCGTCATCCCGGCGCTGTAGCAGATCGTTAATGCACGATGTAGAAGTGCTTTACTATCATGCTTGAAAATCTATCATGCTTGAAAGTCTATCATGCTGCAAAAAGAGATGTAAAAGAACAAGGAAGCAACATATATAAAAGCAAGAAGAGAAGAACGATTCAAAGGCAAATCCGCATATTTTTATTTTAATAACCGAGTAAGCTATACCACTTTTCACTTGCATTATTTTGTGATGTATCCTACCACTTTTCTTTACCATATATTAATACACTGCCATGCCTGTGTAGATACTTACAATGAACCAACCCGAGTTTTCAATTCTTGGTAAACGCCGTCTTTCCACCAGCAATCATGATGACTTGTCCGATCATGGCGAAGTATGTTTATATCATAAACCCGTTGCGTCACAAATACGTACCTGACCATCTGTACTAATATAAGTCGTTACCGTTGGTTAGGAATCATCAACTCTTGCTCGGGCCCAAAGCTTTATGTCAGTTGACCGCCAATCGTCTGCCATGTCAACCGATGCTGACATCGTTGAAATGGAGAGCACCAGCAATATCGAAAGCGTCATTTCAGTACCAATAAGCGGCAAACCAAGGGAAAAACTGTCAAAGCGCGCGAAAGTTGGGTGTACAAATGGTTCATCAGAGAGGCCCACGAAAGCCAGAGTGGCGGCATCTTTTATTATTGCAATGTTCCGGTCGGCAACGGTTTCTGCAATAGAAAATACCAAGATCCCAAAGGTACTACGACGGGTCTATCCAACCATTTGCTCAAGAACCACAATATTACCAAGAATACTTCCGTTGATGCACCACCACAAGGACAAACGCTCGACGCCTTTCCTGCTCCTGGTTTTAGCGTTTCCAGGTTCAGCTCTGAAGCATTCCGTCACGCACTTTGTCTTTTTCTCGTGTCTGCTGCTTTGCCATTTGCGATCGTCGAGAATCCGCGGTTCCAGTCGCTGCTGAATCTTGCACAATCAGCACCGACAACTACGCATGTCAAATTGCCAAGTGACAGCACTGCCGCCCGCGATTTGTTTGACACATACCATATCTACCGCACTTGCATATTCGAGGTACTGAAAAACGTGCCGTTCCTATCATACACCGTCGATGCCTGGACAAGTGAGTGGAGGGCTTCTTTTCTTGGTATCACGGCCCACTGGATCGACAATGATTGGAACCAGCAATCAATCGTCCTTGGTCTAGAGCTTCTCACCGGTCCACATATAGGAGCCAACATGGCAGACGCATTCCTCAAGGTGCTGGGTGACTGGAGCCTTGCAACAAAACCATTCTTCTTGACGGCAGATAATGCTTCCAATATGAACACAATGGCGCAAAACTTGGAGTTCCAGGTCGGCGCGGATATTTTTGACGCCACGCAGAACCGTATACCCTGCATAACCCATGTTTTAAATTTGGCAGTGCAGGCGATTCTCCACGACGGGTTGCATGGCGAGGCGTATAATGATGAGCAAGAAGCTTTAACTGGTAGCGACGATATAGCAGTGTTCAGTACAGGTACGAAAAAACACACAAGCTAACAGTACACACACCATGTTAATTATCATCGTCGTTTCTCTCTTACCTAGGCAAAACACTGCGTAAGCTTCGTAAAGGCATTGTCAGTATCCGCGCGACACCACAAAAAAACAATCAATATCTCGAGACATTCAAGTCCTTACACCAGCCAAAGCAAGGCGCCAGTGGAGAAGATGGAGGTGAAGATGTTGCCGGGTCTTCAGAGGAGCTTGAGCTGATCTTGGACGTGCGTACCCGCTGGAACTCCACCTTTGATATGCTGCAAAGGGCCTTGAAAGTGAAGTGTAACTACAATCGAGCATGCCACAATATAGCAACTCTACAGAACTACCAGCTGACAGACACTGAATGGGTTTGCCTGGAATGTATCTGTGAGTTGCTCTATGAATTCGCCAAGTTGACGCCGTTGCTATCAGGTTCCTCATATGCCACTATGAACCTCGTCATCCTCAGCTACAATCGATTGCTAGACAAACTTGAGCATTACCAAGAACAATGGAAAGAAGTAAGTAAACGTTTAATCAGCATAAATGTAAAAACACTCCCGTATAAAAACACTCCCGTATAGAAGTAGTGAAGTTCTAAAACTTTCCTTTGCAACTGTAGACATGGCTGGAACTTGCAGCAGCTGCAAAATGCGGGTGGAATAAGTTGCAAGGATATTACTACAAAGCAGAAGGACATGCGTACGCTGTTGCGACGGCCATGGACCCGCGCCTAAAGTACGAATGGTGGGAAAGCGAGAACTGGGGTATATTTCGGACGGACGCAATCGAGCTGGTCGAAAAGGCGTGGGAGTCCTATAAGCCAAGCAGAAGCCAAGTCATGACTCCTACAAACCCCAATGCACTGATCAAGAAGGCGGCCATCAACAAAGACCAGCTTGAGAAGTACTTCCAGGCGGATACAGTGACTGATCCAAAGGGTGGGGCTGACAACGGCGTAGTGTTGGAATATTGGCGATCGGAAATGAACGACTGGCCCGAGTTGAAAAGAATGGCACGAAGATACTTAGCAATTCCAGCCTCGTCGACAGGATCAGAGCGCACGTTTTCTCGTGCAAAGCAGTATGTTCCTAGCTCGCGGAACAGACTTGCTTCGAAGAAGCTAAGGCAAGTGTGTTGATTGACTCGTGGAGCAAATTTTTTGGTGAGGAGTAGGCTGCAACAACATTTGTACCTTTTGGTTTTCTGAAGACTGCTTTTTTCTCTTTTCCCCCTTTTCCCTTTTACCTACATCTCAACTTTCCGTCATCCTCTTCCCACCTTTCTTTTACTTCTTATACACTATTCGTTCCGGCGCTCTGGTTGTTACATATAGAAAATAAATAATTTTTTCCAAATACATTTTATACTTTGGAATGCTTTTTCAAATCTTGCTGCCTGTCTTTATTGCTTTCTCACCATTACGACATGCTCTATAACGACTACGATAAACTTCACGATAACTCAATCCTGGTCATAAGAAAACGTGCTTTTTTTATGTCGTCATTTCCCATTTATATATACATCGTTTAATGAGCCTTGTGTTGACGTGCTGATCCGAAATTGATCCGGATTCAATCCGGATTCTCACGAAACGGAATTGGAACTGCAGTTTTATAATCCGGATCAGATCCGGATTTCAAAAAATCGATCCGTTTAAAAACGAAACGGATCCGAGTTCGCTGCAATCCGTTTCGAATCCGTGAATAAAGACCCTAATCCAAACTGCCAGCCAAAAAAAAAAGGCTATCCAAACTGCGAGCCAAAAAAAAAAGGCTATCCAAACTGCGAGCCAAAAAAAAAAGGCTATCCAAACTGCGAGCCAAGACAAAAAAGGCTATCCAAACTGCCAGCCAAGAAAAAAAAGGCTATCCAAACTGAAAAAAAGGCTATCCAAACTGCGAGCCAAAAAAAAAAGGCTATCCAAACTGCGAGCCAAGACAAAAAAGGCTATCCAAACTGCCAGCCAAGAAAAAAAAGGCTATCCAAACTGAAAAAAAGGCTATCCAAACTGCCAGCCAAGAAAAAAAAGGCTATCCAAACTGAAAAAAAAGGCTATCCAAACTGAAAAAAAAAGGCTATCCAAACTGCCAGCCAAAAAAAAAAAAAAAAAAAAAAAAAAAAACAAATATCGTGAAACGAAAAAGGACTCATTTGAGTAGTATACTTTACTAGTTGTTTTAATAAAAATGTATAGGAGTCAAGTAGGATGGGAGGTATCAATGATTGTGGTGACTGGTACTTGCTTTTCTTTTGCGGTTGGTGCGGATATCCATAATTGTTGCTATTTCATTGTCGGAAAGGGTTGGCATAAGTGATGATTGTTGATCCGTTTTCTGGTCGACACACAAGCTCCAGAAGGCGGAGGAAACGATTGTCAATTGGTCGGCTTGTGCGATGAAAAGTGGAAGTTCTTTCAAAGACATTGGCAATTGAATATGGGCAATTTCGACCATTGGATAGAAGCCATTCCTTGTACCATCAGTCAAGTAGAATGTTGCGTGATGTCCTTATTCAACGTGATGATAATTAAAGAAAGAGTGTTAATATGTCTTTTTTTTTGCATTCAAAATAAAAAAACCAGAAAAACTTACCAACGACAAGAAACGACAGGACAAATTTGCTACGATACGTATCAATGGCGTTCTTTGCTAAAAGTGCCAATCGCACTAAGTCTT